GTGGAAAATAATGTGTTTTTTTAACCTTAAACCGCATAAACACATTTCATTACAACAAATACACAACATGTTCTTTTTAGCAACATCATATGACCCCTTTAATATTTTAGATATGAACTATTACATAAATATACAAATTTTAAACTATTTTAAAATATTTTTTAACATTTTTGAGTTGATCATAACTAAATTTCAATTTTTTTATCCTTGATTTTCACAAGTCTGCACCTTCTTTTTTTTTTTTTTGGCTAATGGACCTGGAGTCTGGAAATAAAGTTGAATGACCATATCTTACAGAATGTCAGTGCACATTCAGGTGTTTTTGTAGAATTTAAAAAAATATGGAAATTAGAAAACTGATTTTTGTGTGTTGAATTGAGGTGTGTGTATATATATTATATATCTATACACACACACACACACACACACACACACACTGTACACACACCTCCATTCAACACACAACATTTTCTAATTTACATACATTTAAAATTCTACAAAATCTCTATTTTAAAATTCCTTGATATTCCTCGGTTTTCCCTGACATTGATTCTAGGACAAAGTCTAATGGGAACAAACCCTTGATACAAAAAAACCTTTGCGCTATATATACTCAACCTCCATTTTTGTCCTTAAGTCAGGTCATTGTTATAAAATGATATTACACTGAAAAGTGGTGTACCTGTACAGATTAAATGAGTGAATACAGCTAATAAGCTTATAAATGTAAGATGCTTCAAGTAAAGCCTGCTTGAAAAGATTACGTATCTCCATTCTGCTCTGAGCCCGCGTTTCTTATGGCCTTGATTTACATGCAAAATGCTGTAGTTTCTTTGGCAAGCCGATTTTCTGAACATTGGAGACTCTGTGTGTGTGTGGGAGAGGTGTGGGTCTCGCAGAATGAGAGAAATATAAGCAGGTACAATAAAAAAGACATTCATTACTCTGAGGGGTTCAGAAATGAGAACTTGTGTGGGCTGGCCCACCCCCTCCATGCGTTCTCAGTTCTATCGCTCGCATTCACCGAGATCCACTGCAGCTTGGTTTTTCTTCTCTATCTCGGTTTCGTTTCCCTGTCATTTCTTCATCTGCGATCGAATCTCTACTTATGTTTTTGATGTAATATCATCTCGGGGCCCTGGCCTCCATGCGTTCTCCTGTCAAAACACCTACACAGCTGGAAGATGGTGTTCTCTCTCCCTCAATCGGGAACACTGTGGGGAAAAAAAGCCTATTTTTCTCAGCGTTCCTCATCTTTGACCCCTCCCGCATCCATTTCCCAAGTTATTACATCCCCGACACTCATTTTCACCCTAAATCAGAACGCACTGATGAGGATTCGAGCTTTTCTAGCTAAAAATGACACTTTCTCACAAGAAAAAAAATCACATTCTTACTGGAAATAACCTCCATTCTCAAAAATCTCCATTCGGATCAAAAATTACATTAGAGGACAGACTCAGAATATAATAGAAACTTGGTAGGCTCTTAAATTAAACCACTTTATAATCACCCAGAACATAATACAACCACCTAGCCATGTGCTAGAAACCACGCAGAACACCTTAGAAACAATATAAGTGTCAACCTTTGTATGATTAAGCAAGCACTATTCACATTTATGCATAAAATGTAAAAATCTTGTTTATCAAACTGTCCCTCACCATCCATCACCTACTGAGCGATTCAGCCAGTAAGAGAATGAATGATGGATTTTAGATGACATTAATATGACAACAAGTAACAACCAAGTGATTGTAACGTCACGCAAGATGATATGTGCAACATCCTGTGTTGTAAACATTTTTAAAACACACAAAAGTACTGTTATGCTTATTATTAAACATATAATGACACTTATAATAAACGTACATTTATGCAGTTTCTATTTAATCTTATTCTTGAGATTAAAATTGTATATTTAAATTTTTACATTTATTAATAAAGAAATTGAAAGCACACTGAGAAAACACTGGGGGGGGGGGCCCGTTTTAATTTTTCTGGACTCCTTTTTAATGGTTAAATTAAATTTTATTAATCAAAAAGCATGTTTAATTAATTACAATCATGAAACTTAAACAATTTAACATCAATTTATTAAAAGTTTAACAAAAATTACATGTTTAGGGCCCTATGAAATGTTTTATTTTTTCCAACTTTATGTTTTATTGTTACCAAATTCTGTGTTTTAACATGTCTAATCATTTGAAAGCATAAAACAAGTTTCATTTATTCTTACAATAGCCTTATGATTTTTTTCCTCAGAAATTCTGTGTTGTGTAATTACATTTTTACAGTCATTTAATTTATCTTTTAATTAATGAAAATTAAACAAATTAATTTTTTTGGAAAATAAAGGGGATTTAATATTACAATTAAAACAATGAAGAAATATTGTATGATTATTCCTTAAAAATAAGGTTTTAATCATTTGAGTAGTAGTAGTTGCCTATTACGTACATTCTACTGAACAATAGTAATATATTTCTGCCGCAATGTCTTCAAGTTAAACCGAACTTTTATTTTGACGGGTTGCCGTAAATACCTTTACATTCCTGTGTGTTGTGATATGAGGATAGTTTTACTCAAATGAAACGGTCAAATGCTCATGAAGTGACTCTCAGAGCAGTTCTGGAGATGTTGTTCATGTATTTATGTCCTCATTAGTGAGACGGCAGATGTTAATATCACCGGAAGCGTCACACGTGCTTTAGTACGAGTAGTAAACAAAACCGCGCGTCTGCGCCATTCATTAACACAGAGACACGCAGAATTCATATTTAAATAGTCTTTTTGCAGCTTAATATTTACAAATACTACTAGTAGGAGTGGGAGTGTGCTCACTTGTGTGTGCGCATCAGTGCAGAGAGCGCGTGACCATGTAACGTAAAGACAGAAATGACATGCTGTCGTGTAAATAAGAAAAATAACATAAGGATATTTAGTTTGTTTAATAAAAGAACAAGGTATTGACCAGTTCTATAGGAAAGGTAACTTCTGTTGTGATCTGGCGAAATAGAAAATTAAAGCTGCAGTCCGTAACTTCTTTTGGTTAAAAATGATCTGAAATCAATATTTGGGCAAGTACATAACCAGCCAGTGTTCAAAACTATCGCCTTACTTTAGCCCGATTCACAACGGTTAGCTTATAATAATGTTTTCTAATTTGAGTGGTACGGGTAGGTTTTTGCGGGAAATTCAAGCATGGCACTGGCGACAAAGAGGCAAAACTTACGGACTGCAGCTTTAAATAAAATTAACTTGACCTTCAAGGGGGGGTGGGGCGCCCCCCTAATATAACTCAATATAATGGCAGGAGAAACACTGCTATTCATTAAGGAAGCCTGAAACAAGTATCACAGTTTGCAACAGTTTTCAGCCTTGATAAGAAGAAATGTTTCTTGAGCACCAAATCAGCATTTTATAATGATTTCTGAATAATCGTGATATTAAGGACTGAATTATGGTTGCTAAACATTCAGCTTTGCCATCACAGGAATAAATGACATTTTAAATGATTAAATATATATTAAAACTCAAAACAGGTATTTTACATTGTAATAATATTTCACAATATTAATGTTTTCACTGTATTTTTGGACAAATAAATGTAGCATTCTTTCCAAAACATTAAAAAATCTAACCGACCCCAAACTTTTGAATGGTAGTGTATGTAGTTATTTAAGAGCTGATTGCATTAAAAAGTGTAAACTGGTAAGAAATAGGCTATTGGTTGAAGTGATTATTGGTCAATCTCTGAAGGTAATCATTCAGTGTAGCAAAGTATCATGGTATTGACATCTGATGCCATTACTGTACCATCACAGCACTAATGGTCTACTATTATTAGTACACATTGATTAATAAAGCAGCACACAACCAAATAAATCACCTATTTTAAGATATCTGAGTAGAAGAGGCACATTTTATGATGAAATGAGATGTTTTTAATGTCAGATCCGATTTTAATCACTGGTCTGTCTCTGGTGTGGACGCCGTTAGTGACTTCCTGTCTACCTCGATGACAAA